ATGTGTTTGCTTATTGCTATAAGTTGACCTCTGATTACTGCTTTGGCTGCTTCCCAGAGGTTTTGGCAAGTGGTGTTTTCATTGTCATTAGTTTTTAACCTGGGTTCTTTAGAGCAGCACACACAGTGAAGAGTCTCCATCTCTATTGATATCTGTTGATTGGAAGAGATAAAAAGAAGGACCCCACCCATACACTCTCCTGAAGACATCAAGTGGGGCAGTGTAAGCATTGAGCTGTCAACCATAAGATCAGAAGTTTGAACCCACTAGCCATGAGAGAAAGAGAAGGCAGTTGATTTTCATAAATATTTACACCCTTGTGAACTGTATGAAGCCAGTTCTCTGTCCTGTCGGGTTGCTATGTCCTGGAATCAACTTGACAGCAGTGAGCGTGGTGGTTTTGGTTTTTATTTTGATTGGTACTTCTCTATCTATTCTCACCTACAATTATAATCAGATTTGCCTGTGCCGACCCATATGTGCTGAATTGTTTGTTATTACTTCGGCTGTTGATCATGGCTTTCTGCCTCTACTTCTGTGCACTTTTAAGGAAGAGTGCTCCGATGGTCTGAGTGTCTGTGATTCAGGGAAGCACCTGCCCAGTTTAGGATCTCCATTTTTTCCTGCTCTGTACTAGCGCAAAAACCTCTACATCTCACTGATGTTGAGTTGGTCAGATTCACAGTGGCCCTCCACTTGGTTGCTGAGGCTGTAAACCACAAAGGGAGAGGATTGCCCATCTATCTCCTAAGGGGTGTATTGGAAGCAATGGCGACTTGGTGTCTTTGAGTTAATCCACTTGCTATGGACAGTGCCGCCAGAGCTCCCTTGTGCCAGCTAGTAGTACTGTTCAGTGAGATTGGAAGTTAACCAAAGTTCTGTCATTTGAACACAACCAGTAGGTGCCAAGAAGGTGGCTGAGCATGGAACCTTTTTCTTTTGGTCATAGAACATGGTGCTCCTGAGCTGGGGAGTAGTTGTTAAATGAGAATTGAAGTTGGGCTGTGAGAGATCTCTATGACTGTAGGGGACACTGAGAAAGAGAAAGAACGTGTTAAATACGAGAGGGTTTGAAGTTCAGGACAAAGTAATTTCTATCCATATGATTACGCCTAGCATGGTTCTTACGGCTTGCTGGTCTGTTTTTCTGCTCATTTATTCATCCTTTCCTCCCATGTTAACAGAGTCCTGCTGTATATTCTCAGATGGTGATATGCCTGTAAGTGGCCATTCATCTGTCTCAGTGTTGCTGAATGTATCAAAGGACTAATTATTTTTTTTAAAAACTCCTGCTCATATGTTCCATTTCTCCCTCTATTATTAATTGTTTATGTAACTGGTTGTGTGTGTTTTGTGTTAATAAAGCACTTTTAAGAATCAGAATTGTGGCATGCTATCAAACGCAAGCACTCATTTGAACCTTTATTGTTTGTAGGTTGAATCACCGAACAATGCCACGTGCTTTGTGGATGCTGTGTGCCTTGGGGACCATAATCAACGTCTCCAAAGAAGGGACCCCTGAACGTACTTCTCTGTCTTGTGACTCCACGGGTGTCTGCGATGGCCATGCTAGATCTTTAAAGTCCATTCCTTCAGGGCTCACGGAAGCGGTGAACAGTCTTGACCTGTCCAACAATGAGATTACATATGTCAGCAACACAGACCTGCTTGTGTATGTGAACCTCAGAGCTCTTATTCTGAAAGCCAATGCAATTTACAGAATTGATGAAAATGCTTTCTTCTCTCTTGGAAAGCTCAAATATTTGGACTTATCCAGTAACTACTTAACTAATTTGTCAGCCTCCTGGTTCCATCCTCTTTCTTCCCTGCAATACTTAAACTTACTGGGAAATCATTACAAAGAACTGGGGGAAACATCTCTTTTCTCTCATCTTACTAATTTGCAGATCCTGAAAGTTGGAACTGTTTACACCTCTAGAATTCAGAAAAAGGATTTTGCTGGAATAGCGTTTCTTAAGGAACTTGAGATTGATGCTACAAATCTCCAGAGTTATGAGCCAAAAAGCTTGAAGTCAATTCAAAATATAAGTAATCTAATCCTTCACTTAAAGCAGCCTTTTTTACTGTCAGCGATTTTTGTAGATATTTTAGACTCCTTGGAATATTTTGAATTGAGAGATACTGATCTATATAATTTCCATTTTGTAGAACTACCCACCAGTGAAACCCATCAACTGATTAAAAAGTTTGTATTTAGGAAGGTGGAAATCTCTGACGAAAGTGCTAGTGAAATTGGGAAACTCTTGAGGTATGGCTCTGAGTGTCTAGAATTAGAGTTTGATGACTGTACCCTTAATGGAGTTGGTGCCTTTGATTTATTTGTGATGGATAAAGTTAAGCATACAGGTAAAGTAGAAACATTGATAGTACGGAAGCTGTATATTCCAAAGTTTTATTTATTTCATGATTTGAGCACAATATACGCACTCACAGGAAATGTTAAAAGAATCACAATTGAAAGCAGTAAGGTTTTTCTGGTTCCTTGTTCTCTTTCACAACATTTAAATTCACTGGAATACCTAGATCTTACTGACAATTTGATGGTTGAAGAGCACTTGAATAATGCAGCTTGTGAGGGTGCCTGGCCCCTCCTACAAACCTTAATTTTAAGGCAAAATCATCTGACATCTCTAGAAAAAACTGGAGAAAGTTTGCTTACTCTGAAAAACCTGATTAGCCTTGATATCAGTAAGAATAATTTTCATTCTATGCCTACAGCTTGCCGGTGGCCAGAAAAAATGAACTCTTTGAACCTATCTAGTACACGGATACACAGTTTAACCCCTTGTATTCCCCAGACGCTGGAAATTCTAGATCTTAGCAATAACAATCTTGATTCATTTTCTTTGCCTTTGCCACAACTCAGAGAACTTTATATTTCCAAAAATAATTTGCACACTCTGCCAGACTCCACTTTGTTACCTGAGTTACTAGTCATGAGAATCAGCAAGAACACAATAAACACTCTCACTAAGGAACAATTGGATTCTTTTAAAAACCTGAAGACTTTGGAGGCAGGCAGAAACAACTTCATTTGCTCCTGTGAATTCCTGTCTTTCATTCAAGAACAGCAGGCGCTCACCGAGGTCCTGGTGGACTGGCCAGAAAACTACCTTTGTGACTCCCCATCCCATGTGCGGGGCCAGCGAGTTCAGGACACACACCTCTCCTTTGCAGAGTGTCACCAGGCAGCCCTGGTGTCTGCGGTGTGCTGTGTCATTCTCTTGGTGATCCTGCTCACTGGGGCTCTGTGCAAAGTTTTCCATGGACTGTGGTACATGAAAATGATGTGGGCCTGGCTGCAGGCCAAAAGGAAGCCCAAGAAATCACCTGCCAGGGAGATCTGCTACGACGCCTTTGTTTCCTATAGTGAAAGGGATTCCTACTGGGTGGAGAACCTTATGGTTCAAGAGCTAGAGAACTTCGAACCCCCCTTTAAATTGTGCCTTCATAAGCGGGACTTTGTTCCTGGGAAATGGATCATTGACAATATCATTGACAGTATTGAAAAGAGTCACAAAACAATCTTTGTGCTTTCTGAAAACTTTGTGAAGAGTGAGTGGTGCAAGTATGAACTGGACTTCTCCCACTTTCGTCTCTTTGATGAGAACAATGACACCGTCATTCTCATTCTTCTGGAGCCCATTGAGAAGAAGGCCGTTCCTCAGCGGTTCTGCAAGCTACGGAAGATCATGAACACCAAGACCTACTTGGAGTGGCCCACGGATGAAGCCCAGCAGCCGGGGTTCTGGTTAAATTTGAGAACTGCAATAAAGTCCTAGTTTCCTTTATTAAAGGACAAGTTGGGCTTTTAACATCACAACTTGTGATTTAAGCTCATTCTAATGTAATTCTAAAAACCACAAGAATGCACACTGACATTTGAGGGCTTAAAAGTATATTTTTATCTAGAATGCTGTTTTTTTTAAAGAATTTTTTATAAATTGTTACCAGACTGAAAAGTGGCTTTTAGTGTTTATTTATTCTTCAATCAAGATCTGAGTCCATTGTTGTTAGCTGAATTATCTGGTGATTGACTTATTGTTGTTTATGTGCTGTCAAGTCTCATAGCGACCCTATGTACAGCAGCTCTGAAGCCTGCCCTGTCCTGAGCCAGTCTCACTAATTCCGACACACCAACCTCCATTGCCCCAGTCAATCAATCCATCTCATCCTGAGAGTCTTCCTCTCCTGAGCTGTCCCTCCACCTTTCCTAGCATGATATCCTCCAAGGACTGGTCTCTCCTGGCCACGTGCCCAAACTAAGTGAGGTGGAGCTTTAATATTCTTGCCTCCAAGGAGAGACTTGGTTTCACCCTGTCCAAGAAAGACTGTTTTGTTTTCCTGGCAGTCCTGAGGATTTGAAATGAGTATGTTGAGTCTGCTCTCTGGAGGGAGACTGTGAGGTCTGTGAAGAGAGAGTTCTCTGTCCCATTCAGATGACACCCTCTTCTTGGTCACTCTTCTACAGAACAAATGACAAAAATGTTGGGGTCATTCAGCCAAACTTGTTCCTAGAAGAATGTGCTGTTTGTTCCTGACCTAGTTTACAGAGTAGGTTGTTAGAGGGTATATGTTCTTTTCTGTTTGCTATATTAAGCACCATATCAGTTTTTATAAAGATCTGATAAATATTTGATCAATATATTTAATTGCAAGAATTTAAACAAAAGTGGAGATAACTTGTTAATGAATCTAAAATTGTTTCTTACCCTTTATTTTCCCTTTGCAAATGTTAAACATGTTCACTGTAGAAATTTTAGGGAAAAGATAATAACAGAAAAGAAAGTAAGAATCAGCTCTTATCACACCATATTGGCATAACTACCGGTAACATTTTCAGTGCATATGTACATATTGGGTTTTGGTGCTGTTGAGTTGAGTATGACTCATAGCGACCCTCTGAGCAAAAGATCTGAGCCCTGTTCTATCTTGTGCCATCCTTACGCTTCCTGACACACAAGAGCCCATTGGAGCAGTCACTGTGTCAGTCTGCCTGGTTGAGGGTTTTCCTCGCTTTTGCTGACCTTCCACCCTTCCCAGCATCATGTCTTTCACCAAGTAATGAACCAAGTCTCTCCTTAAATGCTGGGATTTTGAAGCCCTGCCTCACATACTTTGGGCATGTGGCCAGGAGAGATCGGTCCTTGGAGAAGGACATCATGCTAGAAAGAATGGACAGACAGCTCAGGAGAGGAAGACTCCGGATGAGATGGATCGATACAGTGACTGGGGCAATGGGGGTTGGTGTGTCAGAATTAGTGAGACTGGTTCAGGACAGGGCAGGGTTCAGAGATGACTCAACGGCACCTAACAACAACATACTATATTGGTTATTATTTTTTTATTATTATTTAGGCCTCTTGTTTAGAGTCAACAAGACCTTTGAGAAGGGCCTTTGTATTTAAAGGTGGTTGTTATTATATTTTCGAGGAACTTTCTGTATTGATGTAACCTGGGATTGCTATGATGCTGAAACTTGTGCCATTGGGGTGTCAAATGCCATAATGATTACCCATGGTGGACAGTGTTTGGTGGAGCAACAACAATGTAAAATAAGTTTGTTTCAGGACTCCAATATCTCATTCTTGGTTTAGTTCCTGCTAATTATGTCATAAATATTTCTTGAGTGCTTACTATGTGCTAAGCACTATTCTAGGTGCTGAAGTAACTAAAAGTAGGGAAAAAAACTAACGAAATGGATGGAGTTTGCCTAATCTACTGAGAAAGATTCAGCTGCTTCTTGACACAGTGACTGCAATGATGAACTCAAGTGTGTCAGAGATGATGAAGACAGCACAGCATAGAAGAGGGTTTGGATCTGCTGTTCAGAGGTCTCTATGAGCAGTACTTGACTCGATGGCACCTAACAACACTGAAAAAGGCAGAGTAAAATGATATCTATAACATAATTTCAGGTGTTGACAAATGCTATAAAAAAAGAAAAGCAGACTAAGGCAATAGGACGTGTGTTTGTATATGTACAGAGTGATGCTAGAGAGAAGACCACCTCTCCACTTTAGCGATGTTGGAGTGGGTGAATACACTTAGCAATTCCAGGAAACCCAGTGCAACTTAGGCATGTTAAAGAGACACACAAACCTGGTACCAGAGGCTCTGGATTTACTCCCTCTGTGCCCAAGCCACTATGTGGTCTCAACCACAGGGCAGAAAAGATAGTATCTCTTAACCACAGATTCCTAAGCAACTTCTTTCTTCTTTGAAGATGTTGAACAAATGAATTTTTCCTGTGTACTGTCAAGTTGGGGTACATAGGTTTTCAGAGGCCTGCTATTTCAGAAGTGGATGGCCAATCCTTCTTCCTAGTCTGTCTTAATCTGAATGTTTAGGAGTATCTGAGAGACAGCAATTTTTTTTTTAAATTTTTATTTATTTATTTATTTTTACAAACAGCAATTTGTGGAGCAATGAAAGATAAATCCCTCATTGTGGAGTTAACCATTAGTTACAGTATAGTCCCTGCCCTTAGCCCAGTGCCTTGACCCACTTATTTCCCAGCTCCACTCTCCACGAGGATACCCCTTCACTTCTACCAAATGTCTTCAGAATTAATCTCCCATTGTCTGACCCATGACCTGACAGCTTGTATCTGAAGCTTTCTTTGCTCCTGTGATTCCAACAACGTCAACTGCTGGGGAAGACCCTCTATGAGGTGGATTGATTCAGTGACTGGGGTAATCAGGATGGGTGTGTCAGAGGCAATGCGATTGGCACAGGATAGAGCGGGGTTTAGGGCTGCTGTACATAGGGTCGCTATGAGTCGCAAACGACTCGAGGGCACATAACAACAACACTGTCAAGTTGGAACCAACTCATAGCTGACCTCCCTGTGGGTTTTCAGTGGGTAAATCTCATGGGATGAGATTGCCCATCTCCTGTGGAGGTAGATTTGAACTGTACGTTTTTGGATGGGCGGCACTGCTCCTTGCCAGTAGGCCACCGGAGATATGAAAAGAACCAGTTGTTGTCCAGTTAATTATGACTCATGGTGACTTCATGTGCGTAAGAGTAGAATAGTGCTTCGTAAGGTTTTCCAAGGCTATGATCCAACAGGTAACCAAGATTTTCTTCCAAGGACCTCTAGGTGGATTTGAAAAACCAGACTTCTGATTAATAGGTGCTTAACCATTTTCAACACCTGGTTAATTACAACTAAATGTCCTATAGGAACACGGTTCAAATCTACCAGCTGCTCTGTGTGAGAAGGATGGGCAGTCTCCTCTTGTGCGATTAACTGCTTCTGAAAACCTGACAGAGGGTCTGCTATGAGTCGGAACAACAATAAATGTCCTATGTATGAAGTGTTTTGCTAAATTCAAAACCTCTCTTCAGATAGGATTGTCATCACTCAGTCTGGAGGTGGGAAGTGTGGTGTGATAAGATGTGTGGCAAACATGTGTTAGAGAACAACTAAACTGGGAAAAACGTAAAAACCTCCACACTGTTTATGCCATTGTTCAGCTTCTCTTTAATTTATATCTACATAGAAATATTACTTTAACTATGACAACAAATTACTCAGTTCTTTAGGCTGTTGAGATCATGTTAAAATTTAAGAAAAGAATATTAAGTGCAATATTCCAACGTGCAATTACTTCACTAATTCCAGGGATTAAACCTGCCAGATTATTCTAGCCCTAGTGAATAGTTAATGCCTTGAACGATTCCTATCACCACAGGCTGCCAGGCCACCAGATAACGAAGCCAATCAAGGATTTGTCCATACAAAAAATGTGTGCGCTCCCAACTAAATCTCGGTTAAGGAAGATCTGTTATATACACCTAAATAGAAATGTTCATGGGTATAATTTGCAAATCAAGTAATCAATGTAGCAAACTAGTATTACCCTTATTGTTAATTCTTACTAATTTCATGATTTTTATAGACAAATTGAATATTTATTACACCCTCTTTTCCAAAATAATTGAGTTCAAAAATAGGATATCAAACTACAAAACAAGACTGATGGACAAGGGTCATATATTAAAAAAAAGAGAATGACTCTCTTTAAAAAAAGCCGATGATAATGGAAAATTCTATAATAGAGAAAACCTTAGCTCTAGGCTTTCCTGTCGTCGCTCAGCTGAAGAAACTCACTGTATATCAAAAAGAATTACACCAGTTCAAAATATAAGACGCATAACTTTCCTGACTTGATAGATTGTATTAAGGGAAATTATCTAACGCATAGTAACTTTAATACTATATACTAAAAAGAATATATAGTAACTATGATTACTATACATTTAAAAGAATTAGCCAATATAGAAACA